TTTCCACACGTGAAACAAGGCGCGCCTTATCCTCGTTGACGGCGACTTGTCGTCCTTCTAACTTTACTTCTTGATAAATCTTGATTTTTAATATATTATTTGAGATGTTTTTAAGGATATTTATCAAGTGAAATAATTTAAATTGATTATGAATATTTTGAATTAAATACTGATTACATGAAATTAAAAATTTAATACAAAATCTTATTATATTTTTATCTCTTTTTAAATAACTGATTTTGAGTTTTATAATAGTATCTCAATTTATTTTTTACAAATCTTAGAAAAGAAAATAAACATAAAAAAAAAAAAGCTGAAACAAAAAAAGAATTAAAAAAAAAGAAAAAGACCCAATAGATGGAAGGCACGGATTTTGAAAAGATAGCAGGATATATATTAAATCCATCAATGGCAAGATATACTGAGGCCGCATACGACACGCCAGTATCCTAATCGCCCTATATGTATGAGGCCGCAATGTCACTGGCAGCCTGCGCTCACGCACCTAGAGCGGTCAAAACAGGCTAAGCCTATCCTACCAATCTATTTAAATCTTTTTAAGTGAAGCATCGGACTTGTATCTTAAGGGGTTAAAAATGAAATTGGGTTTAAAAAGGTTAATCCTTTAGGGTTCAGAAATAAAAGAGCCAACCCTTTTAAACCCGTCTATTTTTTTTAATTATCAAGATGTTTATACAATTATGGATTAGTCTTTTATGGATAAGTTTAAATTAGAAATTTATTTAGAAGAATTAATACTTAAAAATAATTAGATGTCTTGAACTAGTGGAAAGACAATTAAGATTAATTTTCAATTCTTTTAATGATGACAGTTGATATTCTTAGCCTTTCAATCACTATAGTAACTAGTGAATCTTTCTTTACTATCGGTTCATATGTCTTAACAATGTATAGAAATTTTCTTATTCTAGCAAATATTTAGACTCTTATTTGTACTCATAACTATTACATAGTTTTATTTTAGACAAAAGTGATGAAAACAAAAACCTTAATATTTATATCATTGAAGAAGAGTTCACCTCTAGTGACAAACAATCAATTATTGTTAATCCCAATGATGGTGATGAAGATGAAGATAATAATCATATTGACGTTATTAGTCTTTAGTTGCTTAATTTTTATCTTTTTGCTTTCTTTATTTTATTTGTTTTTGTTTTAGTTTGGATACTAATTCATCATTGTTTGATGTTTTTCTCTGTATATCATTAGTTTATTTTACTAATATTATAATTTGAATAAAATTTTTTAGATGTTTTATTGTTTTATTTTTTATTTCAAAATAATTGGAAATAATTTACATTTAAAAAATAACATAAAAAGATCGGCCTTTTTAGGCCCTGAGCCCACACGTTTGAGGAATAACATGATACTTTTAAGGTATGGAGTTTTAAAGGGCCAATCCTTTTAGGTCCTGACCCTTCAAGGACTAGTCTTTTAAGACCGGACACACACCTTCATACCCTTTATAGCCACACCTTCATACCCTTTATAGCCATATATTCACTGTCAACACTAGTTCTCACACAATCACAAGCTGCGCACGCGTTCAATTCTCATATCTTCCCTTCGACCAAAAACACGCCTCACCAATAATGGCATGCTGTCCACTTATTCCATAGGCTTCATTATCATCGTCCATCTCTTTCCATAACCATCATCATCACCTTCGGCCTCCACTATTTCTTGTTTCTTTTTGCAGAAATTTTCCGCACCCACTCTTTCCATAGCCTCCATGGATTCTCATTGCTTTAAATATATTGTAGATTCTTCTAGGGCCATGAGAGGCTAAAACCATTATGCTTCTTAAAGATGGAGGAATAGCTTGAGCTTGGAGCTTCAATTAAGAGAGTATTTAGTTTTCTAATTAATTTTCTCTTAGATTTTATTAGATTTTTCCCACATTAGGATTCTTTTTATTTATTTTGGAGACTAAAATTATGCGTTATAATTTTTGTCAATTGGGTTTTTGCAGTTTAATTTGACTTATATTATTTGGGATTTAAATTTATATATATTTCTTTTGTATTCATTACAATTATTTTATCTGATGTGATGTTGGATTTTATGATTAAGATGTATTGCAATTGAGTGTCTCTGTGAGTGTTCTTTGAAATGAAAACAAGTTTTATTAACTCAATTTAAATTACACATCAGGTGACTTTTAAAAGTAGCTTAATAATTTGATTACTATCTAGTGTTTAGCATAGTCAAGTGTTAAGTTTACCTGACCCAAACCATGTTTGGGGTTGCTTTTTAAGTTAGTGTATTAATTTTTCTCCCATATTTTTATTAAGCAAGGATAGCTATATTCTGTTTTCAAGAAGCATTCTCATAACTAATTTTCTAAAACCTAATTTTGAATTTTTCATTCTCTCTTTATTAAAAATACCAATAAAAAGGTAGCTTAGATTTATTTCTTTATTTTCATAATCAGTTTTATTAAGAAAAATCTTTTTTCAAACTCCTCCTTTTTAATTCTTTTGTCACTTAGTTAACTTAAAAATTAATAAAAAGCTCCTTAAAAAACACTACTCAAATTGTGCTTTACTGTATAATTTAGTTTTATTTTTTATTTAATCTAAGACGACTAAAAAAGTTCAAATCACTTCTTCCCTTCCAGCGGATGATTGCGCCCCAAGTGATCAGTTCCCCAGTTGAAGTCTCCCTTATCCAGTTTGAGTTTGACAACCACATTATCCCAATCCACCTCCAACACCTCCTAAGCCTCTCAGAATTAGAATCCCTGCTTGTGATATGTAAAACGTCATCAATCACGACCGCCTTTCCCACTTTGCCAACTAAGTAAATGCGCACACGTTTTAATTGGCGGATTAATTTAGTCATTATTAGTATCATCAGTCAGTTTGTGTTTTCAGTTTCTGACGTTTTTATCATTACCATCACCAAGGGGAATTAGCATGTATCAGACGAAGAAAGAAGCCATGGATACGTACACTTCTGTGGTTATGGAATATAATCAGCGGACACATAACCAATGAAGGATTTACAAATTGTCTTCAGATGTAATGGAAAGCAAGATTTCAAAGGGTTTTGCTTTGCAAACAAGGTGATTATTTGGGATGTTCTGTCACCGTTGCTCTCGTTTGAAGTAAAATGTTTTTTAATCAGGCCGCAAATTATGAATACATGGAAAAGTTCTGTCGTTAGAAGTAAAATTTGGGTTTTTGGGGGGGGGGGGTCAAGAGGTCATGCAAGGGCATCCCGCATCCTTTATTGCTGAGCAAAGCGCCTACATATAGCTAGGCATTCTAACTCATTTTAGCGGCACGCAATCTAGAATTTAAGAGTAGTATATTAATTGGTCTACGTGGTGAAGGGAATGACGAAGACTAAAATGAGCGGACCAGGAAAAATAAAATCTTATATACGCATACATACATGTGCGCGGACACGGCCGCCTGTTATGAGGGGGTTACATGCTTAGGCTTTTGGATGACGGCGGTTATCAAATACGTGGGCACGACTGAGAGAGATGAGAGATCCCTAACTATTAAATAGGTGTAATTAATAGGTCGCTTCTAATTAAGTTTAATGATCGTCACTCGTTGTTAGAGCAGCTCGAAAGTGATGTTCATATCCAAGTGGTTGCAGCCAAGGACATCAGCACCCTCGACAGAGATAAGACCTGTCTGTTTGTTAATAGTAATATAATAATCTTCAGATTTCCCCCCTTTTTGGCAGGACATTGAACCCGAATTGGACAATTAATGCGCTGCTAACATTGTAATTAACTAGTGTTAGGTTGAGGAGATCAAGGTTTTGGCACTTGTTTCTGGAAATATCAATGAAGAGGCTGGAGGCCTTTCGTAGGTGTCGGCGTCTGGGGCCATCCCTTTTTGGTTTCCCAGAAAAGGATATTCATCCATAGCTTTCATGCTCTGTCTTCCTCTTCTGCACCCTGCGTCCTCTTCACCCTGTTCGCCTTCCGCCCTTTGTAGCCATTATCAAGTGGAGACATGACCTGCTCTTTCCAAGTATCTGACCCAACTCATCCCTATTAAAGTCTTGCATTTGCCTGCTTTTCATGACCCGGTGTCTGGATAAATCAATCGCGTACGTCATGTTAGAACACTAATATTAATTACAACATTCCAATCATATTTAAGCAATGCAGAACCGCTAACTTTTTAAATTATGCTAAATTCGGCTCATGATTCTAACATAGTATAACGAATATTAAAAAATTTTAATAAATATTTTGATTCAAACTAGTTTATTTTCTTACCAGACTTAAAAATATCAAATCTTAAAAAAACATTAATATACCCTGATGACGACGGATATAAGAAAATTGTCATTTAAACTTTTTCTGAGCAAAAGAGTAATTGACTGGCAAGAAAGAGAGATGAGAACGGAAATTTAATTTGAAATGGCAAGGATTGCAACGAAAACATTACCGGGAATGTACCCAAAACTCATCCTTTTGAATCATTCAGATTTGATTTGTTTTATTTTTAATTATTTTAATAGGTTTAGTTTACGTTTCAGAATATCTAAAAAATAGTACCCAAACCGACGCTGGAATTTCATCATTGAATGGAGGCCACAAATAATGCCATTTACATCCATGTATTAATATGAATTTATCCAATAAAATTCATATGACCCAATGTTATCAACAAATAATTGATGTCGTCTCGTATGGCCCCCATTAGACTTCTGTACAATTACTTTTCTTTTTTTTTTTTTTTAACAAACGATTAGACAATTATTCCTTCTCGTTCAAAATATCAAGTAAATTTTGTCTATTTATGTTTATTAAAAAATTAGTTAAAATTAATTTAAAATAATAAATATGTAAGGCATATATTTTTTCTTTTTAAATATGTCCTTATTAATAAAAATAATAATTTAAAAATACAATAAATAAATAAAAAAGAGAACATATGCGGTAAAATAAAAAAAATATTAAATATTTAGATAAAAATAAATGTTATCTTGTAAAAAAAAAACTAGGCCCTCCAGTGCTTCTGCCGACAAGGATGCTTCAATCAGAATCCCTCATAAATCTGTGATATTCATTTAATTTAAATTAAATCAAGAATGGTTTACAAATAATAACGACCTTGTGTACAAAATATCTCAGTCCGATAAAGAAGCTTCTAGGGACATCCTTAGTTCCTTCTCATGAGCTTATCGCCACAGACTTGATTCTTCAATTCCATCCATGGAGATCATGCATCGTCCCCACGTAGCTTTGCTTTCTAGCCCAGGCCTCGGCCATCTGATCCCCACAATCGAGCTGGGAAAGCTCCTCGTCCTCCGCCACGGTTTCAAGGTCACAATCCTCGCCATTACTTCCCAGACCTCCGAAGCCGAATCCCGCATTCTGAAATCAGCCATCTCCTCCATCAACTTTTGTGACTTCCTCGAACTCCCACCCGCAGACCTCTCTGGCCTTCTTGAGAATGAAGCTGCCATTGTGGAACGCCTCTGCGTCGTCATGCGTGAAACCAAGGGAGCTGTTCGTTCTGTGCTTTCTAACATGGCCCACCCTCCTTCTGTGCTCATAGTTGACATCTTCGGCTCTGAATGCTTGTCCATAGCAGAAGAGTTCCGCATGCTCAAGTACGTTTACGTTGCTTCCAATGCCTGGTTTTTCTCCCTGACTTTATACTCTCCCATCCTGGATAAGCAAGTGCAAGGCCAGTTCGTAGATCAGAAAGAACCGTTCGAAATCCCAGGTTGCAGTCCGCTTCGTCCTGAAGACGTGGTTGATCCCATGCTGGACCGGAACACCCGGCAATATCAGGAGTACATCGGCATAGGGATGGGGGTGCGAAAAGGCGACGGGATATTGGTGAACACGTGGGAAGAACTCCAACGCAAAGACCTTGAATCACTGAGAGACGAGAATTTATTGGGCGGGTTGCTGAAAGTTCCAGTGTATGCCATTGGACCACTGGTGAGGGAGCCAGAACCTCCCTCGAGTTCAACCATAGGGTTGCTGGGGTGGCTGGATCAGCAACCCAGTGAGTCGGTGGTTTACGTCTCGTTTGGGAGCGGTGGCACGCTTTCGCATGAGCAGACCATAGAGGTTGCATGGGGTTTGGAGTTAAGCCGGTTGAGATTTATGTGGGTGGTGCGTCCGCCAAACAGAGGACGCGCAGACTCAGCGTTCTTTAGCACCGGGGACGGCAGCCGTGAGGACGATGATCCTTCAAATTATTTGCCAGAAGGGTTCAAAGAGAGAACGCGGAAAATGGGGAGATTAATTCCACAATGGGCGGCCCAAGCAAGCATATTGAGGCATCCATCGGTGGGGGGATTCATGTCGCATTGTGGGTGGAGCTCGTCTCTGGAGAGCATAACGAACGGCGTGCCGATGGTCTGCTGGCCGTTATACGCAGAGCAGAGGATGAACGCGACGCTGCTGGCGGAGGAGTTGAGGGTGGGGGTGAGGCCTAAGGTGTTGCCGGCGAAGAAGGTGGTAGGAAGGGAGGAGATAGCGAGCATGTTGAGGGAGATAATGGAGGGGAAGCCTAACCCCATAAGGGAGAGAGCGAGAGAGCTGAGGGAGAGTGCAGCTAAAGCAATGGAGAGAGACGGTTTGTCTCGCACTGCGCTGGACCACGTAGCGAACCTGTGCTGTGCGAGGGCAGCTGAGTGCGAGACCCACGAGCACCAATCAGTTTTAACGTCTCCCTCTGTTTCTCATGTATCGTCAAATCTCCTGTCACAGAGGACGCAAAGATAATTTGTCCGTGTTTTGCTATGTCACGGGTTAGCCTTGGCTTCGGCTTTCCTTTTAAAATATATATATTTCAGCTTCCTTGTTTAATTAGCTTACTTAATTATCTCTTTGACTGCATATAGTTGAGATTATCTGATGTTGCGTCCTCTCTTCTATTTGAAACCTGAAAGAATAGAAATCTCAAATCTTTCTTGTTGAGGTGGAAAGAGCGATTGAATAAAAATATTAATTATTCTCAAGGATCCGTGTGATTTTATGGAAGGAAAAAAAGGATGTGAAGGAAAGATTTCAATACCTTCTTGTTTGACTCAGGAGGGGAAGGTAGGGTATACAAAAATAACTGTGCTATTATTTTATTTAAGCTGCATGTTGTTTTTTCCACACTTTACAGTTCATATGAATGTTTAACAAATATAATTATGAATATTTTTAATATACTGGGTTATACTAACATAACTATCAATGCAGAAAAAAAATAAAATTATAATTCATAGTTATAATTATGAGTGTATAATCATAATTATACTTTATATATATGACACATGGGATGGCTTTCATTGTTCGATATATTGTAATCATAATATACACGTTTTTTTTTTTGGAATAGTAGTAGTAATTATTATCACGGGTGGAGAGAAAATAAATGAGAGATGTTACTGAGGAAGAGACCGGACGGTGAAAGAGGAAAGGACAAGGAAGAGAAAACAAACCAGAAGCAAAGAAACACTAGAGGGAAGGGACGATCTAGGCTGAACAAATCTGGATCTGGGGAAAGAGAGGAACGAGCCAGATAGGTTCGAACAATTAGGGGGCATTTTAGTCAGAATCTCCTCCTTGCTAAAAATTTTACAAAACCGGACAAAAGGGGGGGCCAAAAAAAAAAATCACCCTCTCCGAATAATTTACCCCGAGAAGGAGCCAATTATATACGTCGGGGCCACTTCATAAATATATCCAACAGAGCTTACTTCTTCCCTTCCTGGGAATGGTCGCCCCGCAAGTGATCAGTTCCCCATTGAAGTCTCCTTTGTCCAGTTTGAGCTTGACAATCACATTATCCCAACCCACCTCCAACACTTCCTAGGCCTCTCAGAATTAGAATCCCTGCTTGTTATATGTAAAACGTCACTAATCACGACCGTCTTCCCCACTTTGCGAACTAATTAAATGCGTACACGTTTTGATTTGCGGATTAATTTAGTCATTATTTAGTATCGTTAGTCAGTTTGTGTTTTCAGTTTCTGACGTTTTTATCGTTGCCATCACCAAGGGGAATTAACATGTATCAGACGAAGAAAGAAGCCATGGATACACTTCTGTGGTTATGGAATATAATCAGCGGACATATAACCAATGAAGGATTTACAAGTCGTTTTCAGATGTAATGGAAGGCAAGATTTCACAGGGTTTTGCTTTGCACACAAGGTGATTATTTGGGACGTTCTGTCACCGCTGCTCTCCTCTGAAGCAAAATGTTTTTTAATCAGACCGCAAATTACGAATACATGGAAAAGTTCTGTCGCTAAAAGGAAAATTTGGGTTTTGGCCCCCCCCCGGGGGTACAAATAGTTCAAGAGGTTATGCAAGGGCGTCCTTTATTGCTGAGCAAAGCGCCTACGTATAGCTAGGCATTCTAACTCATTTTAGCGGCACGCAAGCTAGAATTTAATACGAGTAGTAGTATATTAATTGGTTTACTAGTGACGGGAATGACGAAGACTTTTTTTTTTTGGACCAGCGACGAAGACTAAAATTAGCGGACCAGGACAAACAAAAGCTTATATACGCATATACATACATGTGTGCGGACGCGGCCGCCTGTTCTTATATTGCTCAAGTACTGAGAGGTGTCACCATAAGGTATGGGAAGGGTTACATGCTTAGGCTTTTGGATGACGGCGGTTATCAAATACGTGGGCACGACTGAGAGAGATGAGAGATCTCTAACTATTAAATAGGTGTACTTAATTTTCAGTGCTCAGATCTATGCAAATTTTATATATATATATATATATATATATATATTATCACATACTACGTTTTTTTCTATATTGGCCTCCTTATGATTACGTATGGCTCCGCCCCATAGGGAACCTTTGAACCGAAAAGCCAAGTTCATTTCGCACGCTCCAAAAAACGACATACACACAGGTCACATTTAACACCACATGCGCATACTCTCTCGCTGCTCTGATATATCTCACCCATTATCCATATTCTCTTAGCTCATCGTACATCTAATCATCGTATGAGGATCATCGTGTCGTTCTTAATTGAACGGTCTAATTAAGCAAAAAGCATACTTAATTACTGGATCAATCGTGTTGTTTGCGTATAATTCAAGTCTCTCTCGAGTTTTTGTCGCTTATCTCACAAAATGATGGCTCACCAAATCCAATAAGCGGCACTATGATCACCAGTCTGATGTGAATGCTCCGTTTTCTACTTTATTTACAATAATCTACCTTTCCGCTTTCTGAAATATCCTGCCACGCAGTCAGCGACTTGTTAAGACTTAAGAGGTTCTGTACTGTTCCAGCGTTGTGCTAGTCCAATCCATATTTTTCAAGCACTTTGTTCCAAATTTGACTCCATATGATAGAATCTCTTCTCATTCCGCCGCCTTGATCATGTTGTGAAATTTTCTTTCAATTTAGTCCCCCCCCGGGGGGATTTCTATTTGATGATCACCATAGCTTTGAAGATGCTTGTATTACTTTCCAGGACATCACCATAAAGTGGAAGGTTGACTTGTTTAAGAGGCTGTACATTTACAACATTTGAAAACATTATTAATCTTCCCTCATTTTTTGTTCTCCAACGCTAAGCCCTCCAATCGAAGAAACAATATCTTCTATGATAGTTTTACCTCCAGTTTTAATTATAAAACTTCATTTACAATCTATAAAAAAGTTCTTATAATTAGGACGGGAGTTAGTGTTGATTTATTCTGAGTTGTAGCCCAATTTGGGAGAGAGTTAAACCTCAAGCCTGCAGCTAATATTCATTTTCCCCCTCATTGTCCTATTTTAAAATACGGGCTCGAATAAGTCGATCGAGGGGGAAAACATGGGAGGGGCCCATGCACGCATGATGCTTTTGTTACCCAAGTCAGTCCTAAATAAATAAAATGAAATGGTACTTAATTTACTAAATGTGCTTCAAATTGAATTTTTTTTACAACTTTACCCATATTAAATGAAGCTGTGCAAACAAGAGAGAAGAATACAATGAGTATATTTCAGTATTAGTTGTAGGAATAAAATTGATAAATAAACATTAATAACTCTTTAAATTATTTATATTTTATACCAAATCTTTTTTTTTTTTTTGGGTGGGGAGGGGAAGCATTAATAACTCTTCAAATTACTTATATTTTATGCCAAATCATTTGGGGGGTGGGGGTATATATATCCTCTCTAGCCACCCCAAAAGCCAAATGAATTCATGTCGAGGGCTTCCTTGCAGCCGCAACTACGTACTCAACATTAGCTCCGTAGCTCTAATCTCACAGTGCGGAGACCATGCATAAGCTGCATGTAGCTCTGCTTTCTAGCCCAGGCCTCGGCCATCTGATCCCTGTGATTGAGCTGGGGAAGCTCCTTGCCCTCCACCACGGTTTCAAGGTCACAATCCTCGCCGTTACTTCCCAAACCTCCGAAGCCGAATCCCACATTCTGAAATCAGCCATCTCCTCCATCAACTTCTGTGATTTCCTCGAAATCCCACCTGCAGACGTCTCTGGCCTTCTCGAAAACCAAGCTGCCATCGTCGAACGCCTCTGCGTCGTCATGCGTGAAACCAAGGGCGCTGTTCGATCTGCGCTTTCTAACATGGCCCCCCCTCCTTCTGTGCTCGTAGTCGATATCTTCTGTTCCGAATGTTTGTCCATAGCCGAAGAGTTCCGCATGCTCAAGTACGTTTACGTTGCTTCCAATGCCTGGTTTTTCTCCCTGACTTTATACTCTCCCATCCTGGATAAGCAAGTGCAATGCCAGTTCGTAGATCAGAAAGAACCGCTCGAAATCCCAGGTTGCAGTCCAATTCGTCCTGAAGACGTGGTTGATCCCATGCTGGACCGGAACACTCGGAATTATGAGGAGTACATCGGCATAGGGATGGGGGTGCGAAAAGGCGACGGGATATTGGTGAACACGTGGGAAGAACTCCAACACAAAGACCTTGAATCACTGAGAGACGAGAATTTATTGGGCGGGTTGCTGAAAGTTCCAGTGTATGCCATTGGACCACTGGTGAGGGAGCCAGAACCTCCCTCGAGTTCAACCATAGAGTTGCTGGGGTGGCTGGATCAGCAACCCAGTGAGTCGGTGGTTTACGTCTCGTTTGGGAGTGGTGGCACGCTTTCGCATGAGCAGACCATAGAGGTTGCGTGGGGTTTGGAGTTAAGCCGGTTGAGATTTATGTGGGTGGTGCGTCCGCCAAACAGAGGGCGCGCAGACTCAGCGTTCTTTAGCACCGGGGACGGCAGCCGTGAGGACGATGATCCTTCAAATTATTTGCCAGAAGGGTTCAAAGAGAGAACGCGGAAAATGGGGAGATTAATTCCACAATGGGCGGCCCAAGCACGCATATTGAGGCATCCATCGGTGGGGGGATTCATGTCGCATTGTGGGTGGAGCTCGTCTCTGGAGAGCATAACGAACGGCGTGCCGATGATCTGCTGGCCGTTATACGCAGAGCAGAGGATGAACGCGACGCTGCTGGCGGAGGAGTTGAGGGTGGGGGTGAGGCCTAAGGTGTTGCCGGCGAAGAAGGTGGTAGGAAGGGAGGAGATAGCGAGCATGTTGAGGGAGATAATGGAGGGGAAGCCTAACCCCATAAGGGAGAGAGCGAGAGAGGTGAAGGAGAGGGCAGCCATGGCTACGAAGAGGGGCGGCTCGTCTCGCACTGCCCTGGACGACGTCGCGGAACAATGCGTGGCAAGCTGGCACCGTCTCCACAAACCAAATTAGGCATTTGTCTTCTTCTGCTGCCTCTGTCGCCGTCAGCTTTGATATTTGATAATATATTTGCGCTTCCGTTTCGCTTTGGTTTTCAATTTCATATTTAAAATATTTGAGTTTGATTGTCCTAGAATGTCAGATGTTGCCTGTCTTCAGTGGATCTCCGTAAATGTCTACTGCATCGCTTTCAACATACAGGCTCGTCACCTAGACTCTCTCTGTTTATCCTCTCTGGCCTCCTAGTATTGGGAAAAAGAAGACAAAAAGTGGAGTCGTATTTATCGGCTGATAAAATAACAAGGCATTCTTACTTTGCGTAGGCAAGACGGCAAGTAGTGCATACTTGCGTGTGGCCGAATTTATGCCCCTCACAGCATTCAAGATATATAAAGACATAACGTCCACATCGGGAGCGGGGCTCTTCATGAATATATATCGAACAGAGCAGACGTTGACTTTGGAAAATTGTTTTTCCCGCCGGAAACGTCAAATATTAGATTGTCACTGATGGGAGTAATGGCAGTGTATTAAAAAAAAAAATAGAGAGAAAAATTGCTTTTTATTCACTTGTCTTTCAAAACTAGAAAATTGGTTTCTTGGCTTTCACACGACGGGAAATAAATTACTACTAATATAAAAACTATTTAACTAATTTAAATAGATTAGAAAAATTAGTTAAATTAGTTATTTGTAATAAATAAATATTATTTTTTTAAAAATATCCTTACTAAATAAATGTATTGACTAAAACTACTATTATTGTAAGAATTATCTTAAAAAAATAGATAAATATGAGAAACAAAATAAATTAGGGTTTTATATTTAGGAATGAAATATAAGTCAAACATATTCTTATATTAAAGACCGAATGTAGTATTTATCTATTTTCTTATTATTTAACTATATTGGTTCAAATCACACGCGTCAAAATAATCCACCTACTTCACTGGCAAAATAATAATAATCCGCCTACTTAACGAGTAGGTAAATGGTAGTATTTTTGTTTAGTAGGAAATTAAACGATGATAAACTTCATTCCAAATTAAACGCCAGGTTAGTTTCTTCCTTCTTTCTTACTGATGATATCCCTGGATAGTGGATATCCGAGGACCCCGTTTGATTTGTGAGGGGAGTAGTTTTCTTTTAGGAAAATTGTAACAAGATCCTATCTAAGAGAATTAAATGCAATTTTTTTTTTAAATTATCAAATTATTCTGAAGTCTCAAGAGATCTTATTACAAGAAAATTTATTTGTTTAATTACCAAATTGTCTCTTTTTTTAAATTTGTATTGATAACTGAAAGAGTAATCGTTAACAATTTAAAGTGTAAGGATTGACAACTATCGCAGCAAGCACTGACAACACATTTTCTCAACAAATCACAAAATGTAATGTATGAGTTATCCATGCCTGCCGTGATAGTTGTCAATCCTTATACCTTAAGTTGTCAACGACTACTTTTTTAATTGTCAATACAAACTTAAAAAAAAAAAAGAGTAATTTAGTAATTAAACAAATAAAATTTATTGCAATGAGATCCTTTGGGATTTTAAAATAATTTGATAATTTTAAGGAACTTTTTTGTATTTAATTTCCTTGGGTAGAACCTTATTGCAATTTTTCCTTTTCTTTCTCTTTTACGCGAACAAAAAATATAATATTGATCACACATACCTTTTTTTCATCTAATGATCTTAAATTCAATATAATACTGTCGGGTTAAAATATTCAAATATTATTAGTATCATAAGAAGCAACATTCTCAAAGACTTTGATGGCAAAGGGGGAAAAAAACATTCTCAGACTCTTTTTACACTCACGTACACTTGTTAAGAGGTTTTTGTTTTAGCATCTTAAAATTATTTTCATGAAATAATTTTTTTTATATACTTACTTCATAAATTATAAAATTATTTCTAAAAAATTAATCCAAACACCCACTCCAACCCAATAGAGGTTCCCTGTTTCAAAAGCGACAATCTCATCATTACTTGATAATATTTATTATATTTTAGAAACAATTAATCTGTCAGTCTTTATAATTGTATTGGATAATTTTGAATTAGGTTGTTATATTTTTATTTCTTTTTACTGGATTCTTATAGTTTGTTAGGCTAAAAGGATTAGTCCAATAGTCCTTCCGTTTCCCTACACGCGGTGAAACGCGATGATAAGAGATGATGTGGCATGCAAGAGGCTTTACCCATTGACAAATAATACTTGTCTCCCCCCTCTCTTATCTTTCGTAGCTTCCTTAACAGGTTTTGCTTTTCATACCGCTCGTCCTCTCTGGTCTCCACCACACGTCCGCCGTTTGCTTCTTGTTCTCCTCCATCAGATTTATAGTATCTCGGTACACCCCTTGACTTGCAGGTGCTGACACAGTCAATATAGAAATTAGAAAATATAAGGAAAATAGTCTATTTTTTTCTATGACGTGTACTGATTGCAATGAGCAAAAAGACAAGCTAATGGGTTTCACTACTGAAAGGGATTTGCATTTTAAGGAGAACAAATGTATAGGTTTTTGTATCAGTTTACACTGACTGGTTGGAATTCGAGTTTAAAGAAAAACTAACTATATAATTCGAGCATACATATGATTCTAGTTGCAGTGCCGGAGATTTTATTTTTACTTGATATCCAATCAATTCACAATAAAATCCCCGCCACAGTTAAAGAAGGGTCGTGAAAATGTCAGATATTAATTCTCATAACAATAGCCTTTTTCTTAAATACTCTCCCGGTTCTAAATATTAATTCTCATAACTACAATGTATGAGGAGAAGCGTTGGTTCTGAGTTCTGACCACGCTCCAGTGGCTGCTCTATTTTCCATTGGGTACCCGACCCAATAATTTAGAGATGCTACATAGGAAATAAAATCAACAACTACCCTAAATTTTCGATAGATATTGAATAGAAGTAGAGAATACGAGTTAAGGTAGACCACCTTTACTGTAATCAAATGGTGCAATCTCACCGTTAATTTAACAGCCCCAAACGTCGGTTAGAAGTAATTGTTTTAATTCTGAGTAACCATGCTGTCTTTTATCCCCTGCATCTCATCTTTCTCACCCTCGTCCCTCCATCAGTAGTTCATTAAGTTCTTTCGCCACTCTCAAACTGCACACCGAGTTTACGTAAACAAATCCATCACTTTTTCTAGAAGCGTTGAGCCAACTTCAAGTAATCCTCATAGCCGCCGCCGCCGCCGCTTCCCGACTGAGCTCGTTTAACTAGTGAGAATCAGCTTTCGAGCCCCGATCCCAAGAACCTTGAGCCATCTTCAAGTAATCCTCGTGCCTGTGTGACTGATGATACGGTCTTGTGGAGTGCAAGCTGGCGGCGGTCAGATGGTCCGAATGTACGTCGTCGACGGCGTTGTGGGAGGAGCTGCCGTACTTATGGAGGTAATCATCGGCCTTGTCAGCGTACTTCCCAAAGGACTTGTCTTCCATTTTGCCGCGGTGACAAGCTGCCTCAAGAAGATCACCGGCGACATGGGCGAGCTGGGCCTTGTCGACTTCGTGAGATTCATGGCGGAAAATGCATTGGGCTGCCGAAGCAACCACTTTGGCGTTGGAAAGAAGCTCGCTAGAGAGTGTTGCTGGTGCGGATGGCCGTGGCAGTGGGTGGGATAAGATCCATAGTTGCAAGAGAAGGGAGGAGAGAGAAACGTTGTCAGAAGAAGATGGGATTTGGCAGAGAGTGACGGCGGTGTTGCAACTTGCAAGGCGGAGCTCATGGGTGATGGGACTTAGCACATCTTTTTTTTTATTTATTAAATTGCTTTGGCGGTGATGAGGTTCTTCATGTGACTGCAAATTTGAGGCCTTTTTGGGCTTTACCCATCTCTTTTGATTAACAAGCACAGGGGGATTCCCAAGAAAAGATTGATTTAAACCTTGAAAACCCATTGCTTTGTTTGACTACCGACACGGCGGAAACTGGTTAAGGATGTGTTTGGCATCGCGTTTCGTGATCTAAACGTGCATCTCTACCAGTAAAAGTTACTTTTGGGATTTTGAAATTGTTTTGGATTGACTTCTTTTTGTGATTGGCTTATAGGGTCTAATAAACTGTTGGGCAGAAGCTATTTTTTTTGCTTTTAGAGTGAGGAGCGGTTGGGGGTGAGGGACGGTAGGGTGTGCAAGACAGAAGAAAAGAAGAAAGAGAAGAGATGATGATATTAGACATGAACAGTTTTTTTTTTGACATTCACATGCTATAATATAAAAATGGAACAATAAATTAAAGATAATATTTTTTTTAGTAAATACTGAACATAAATTATTGCAACAGTAAATACTAACGTAAAATTGAAGGGGAAAAAAAGTACCATGCTATTTTTTCATTTATTTACTTAATGTTTATTTTTTTTTGTAAAAAAAAGATATCTTTTTGTTTTTATTTTATTGCTTAGAACTTACTATTATCATATTACTTAATAAAATTTATGTCTTTTTCAATTATTTTGTATCTAAACTTACTTTTTTTTATCATTTATCCAAATAAATTTTAGCTTTTCAAACTGACTTTCCTACAAAAGTTAATGCAAACATAACTCACATCACTCTATCTGACTTTTATCTAATCTAACTTATGTAAAAGTCAGATCGAAAAAAAATAACTTCCAAACACGCCCTAAACATGTGAACATTGTTTGCCAACTTTATGAATAAGAGAGGGAGGGTGAAAGGGATAAGATAGAGAGAGAGAGCATAGCTAGTCAAAAAATTGAAATGGTTAATGTCAACTTCTGACGGACGCCTGTGGCGGTTAAATTAAAGGTGAGATTCCACCATTTTTATTACATTATTATAAGCAAAAATTACAACATAATATTTTAAAGTTGAATGCATTTTAACCTTTTAAAACAATATTACTTTGACCTTTATTATTAGTCATTTGTTAAAAAAAAATGGTCCTGAATATAAATAACTTGGAGGATATTTATGATTACTTTCTTATTTTGTCTTTATTTGATTCTTGCTGGAAAAAGAAAAAGATAAGAGATATGTAAGAGTGATTTGTAAGTGCAGGAAAATTTTTTTAATAAAAATAAATTTAAAAAAATTTATCAATTTAATGTCTTTCTTAGTGTGTAAATGTCAGAATGAGTTACGGACTTACACAACTAATAATATAATATAAACAGCCATAGTGGAAATGATCTACCATTGCTTAACGCGAATTAATTGCCTCTGCTTACCGGCGACAACGGCTTAAAAAATCTACTTGAACGCATCAAGTAAAATAATAATCTTCCAAAAATAACCCCGGTCGATTCTGGTATGTACGCCTACCTTTGCATTCAAGGGTGGTGGTGATTCCGGACAAATAATTACAGATGCGGTACAAACAATTATGTTGGGGCCCAAAGCCAAATAAATACAACACGGCTTTTGTATAGGCACCTATGAAGCAGCATGAGAGAGCAGAGACGCATTTATTTTAGTGAAAAATTAAGTTTAAAATTATTAAATTCTAAATATTTAATCTCAAATTTCTTTTTATGAATTCACCTTTTATTTTAGCTAATGCACCAATTAATGAGGCACCGCATCTGACAACGGTAACATAGATTACTCAATCATTTAATTGAAAGCCTCTCACTCATATACCTTCTCAGCTTCTCAACATTAACATTTTCAACAAAACATCCCTTTCAACCGAGGGAGTATTATGTAATTAGCGCATTATCATGACCGATAGGCGATTGAAGTATACGGCATATATGTATAATGTATGTATAGCTACTAATTAATCAACCTTGGCTGGCCATTCACTTGATTTCTCTATTGAATATTCAAATTAAAGAGTGGGAGAAACACATCGAAGATCACTCGCAGGCGTACAAAATAAAATCCCTGTAGTTAATTAGAGCCGTTTCCGTGGGACTTCATCCATAAATTTCGGTTAATTACGGCGCGCGCTTTGGTTCTCATCTGCCAGACTGCCACCTTTCTTGAGTCCAAAAAAAAAAAAAAAAGACTGCCACCTTTCTGACGGTACTTGATCAGTTGATCTGGCAATAACGTGCCCTGTCTGATCCTCAAGCGTTTTCAAACATACATATATGAATATAATATAATATAATATAATAATAATAATAATTGTGCAGGAGGAGTAACTATGGCTGGCGGCCATTGACTTGAGTTGCGAATATTCGGAGGAAATTTGCTCATCACGCTCATTCCCACCTATGTATGAAAAGCAAGAGAAGGTAGCTGTGGTTTTAAGGCATACCACGAGAACGACTAAGTATTAGCTGTGTAAATGGCAAATAAACCTCACGCAGCCCTTCTTGCCAGCCCTGGTATGGGCCACCTCATTCCGGCGATCGAGCTCGCCAAGCGCCTCCACACCCATCATGACTTTCTCGTCACCGTCTTTGTCGTAACCACCGATTCCTCCACCGCACGCTCTCTCATCCTAAAATCCACTTCGAACCTACCCTCCCTCAACATTGTTATATTCCCTCCTGTAGATGTCTCCACAGAACTTGGCCCTAACCCTCCTCTAGAAGCTCGAATGAACTTCACCATGATTCGGTCCCTCCCTCTTTTGCATTCTTCCATCTTATCGATGAACCCTCGTCCCATAGTTCTTATCGTGGACATCTTTGGTACCCTAGCATTTCCCATGGCGCGCGAGTTCCGGATGTTGACTTACGTGTTATTCACCTGCAACGCTTGGTTTGCCGCGGCAACGATATATCTGCCTGTCATCGACAAGGAAATGGAAGACAGGCACGTTAACCACCGCGAACCGCTGCGGATCCCGGGTTGCAAACCGGTTCCCTTTGAGGACACGCTCGAGCCGTTCCTGCGCCGGGGTGGGTGGATGTACGAGGGTTTTCTGAAGGCGGCGCAAGACATAATATCCGCCGACGGGATTCTGGTGAACACGTGGCAAGATCTAGAGCCGACTACCGTAAAGGCACTGATGGATAAAGACATTTTAGGGGGGATCACAAAAGGTCCGGTGTATTTTGTAGGGCCCTTGGTGAGAAGCATCGACTCGAAAGCCAACCATAAAGACGAGGTTTTGCGGTGGCTTGACGATCAACCAATGGAGTCGGTTATTTACGTATCGTTCGGAAGCGGGGGAACACTGTCGGCGGCTCAAATCACGGAGCTGGCTTGGGGACTGGAGCTGAGCGAGCAGAGGTTTGTTTGGGTGGTGCGGCCTCCCAAGGAAGAGGATGCTAGCGGCTCGTTTTTTGATGTCGTGAAGGGTCGAGAAGAGTGCATGGATTACTTGCCGGAGGGGTTTGCGAGGAGGAACCACGGGGTGGGGTGGGTGGTCCCCATGTGGGCCCCACAGGCGGAGATATTGGGACACCCTTCGGTAGGGGGATTCGTGACGCACTGTGGTTGGAACTCGACGCTGGAGAGCGTGGTGCATGGAGTGGCCATGGTAGCGTGGCCGCTGTATGCAGAGCAGAAGATGAATGCCTGCATGTTGTCGGCGGAGCTTGAGGTGGCCGTGAGGATGAAAGGGCCGGAGGGAGCGGCGGTGCCAAGGGAGGAGATAGGAAAGGTGGTGAGGAGAGTAATGAGGGAGAAAGAAGGGAAGACGATGAGGGGAAGAGCGAGGGAGCTGATGTTGAGTGCAGAGAAATCGCTCTCTCAGCTTGGGGCTTCTCACCAGTCACTATGTAGAATGACCAGACACTGTCTCAACCATCAAATGAATGGAAAAGTCTGCTAGCTGGGGCTTCAAAGACATCCATATTTAGGCCCCAAAAAAAAAATATCGCTATAGTAATCATGCTTTTTCGTCTAGTTTGTGCCTTTTCATTCAGGCAGCCTCTTTGCAGGAGTCTTTATCGATCGTCTCTCTGCGTGTGGTTCAAAATGATCAGTTCCCACATCAGAGATGCTAGAATATACTAGAGCTATAGCTTTGTCGAACTCGGTTTAAATCAATATGAACATGTTAAGCCCCATGTTCTCCATTTCATGATGACGTAGGATTTTGTTGTGTTCGTGAGCGGGAGATTTAAATGGTAGAAAAGAAAAAATCAAATCAAATCTCAGTTATTTTTCCCTCGTGGCACATGGCACCGAAATTGAGTCGTTGACTTCAAGACTGTAGCCCGACAAAATGCCGTTTGAATTCGGTTGGACAAACGTAAGTTTAAATCATTGTGATTTTAAAAACCGTGTTTTGTTCAAAAGTGAGTTCGGCTGACCACATTTGGTTCACAATGTCGTTGTGTTCAGCTAATGGAAGCTTACAATCAAGAACTCTGTCATCTCTGTAAATTCTACTCATGTGGAGCATTATTAATAGTTCTGCACATTGCAAGAAATTCTCATCAAGCAAGAGTCGGGGGAACAGTAAAGTCTTGTATAACTAAAATGCACTATGCGTTAATTACCAAGGAGGATTGCATTTAGTTAAAAAAGCTGGTTCTTCATCAAGTTAGTTCTAGTCATCATTACACCTCGAATAAGATTATCTTACCATAGAAAAAGATGTGTGCAAATTTGAAAAAATTGTGCATTATTTCCGAAGGAAACATTAATGTTTGTGGTATAGTCGCCGTCTTAGTGGCAAAACCATTCACCTCGACATCGAAGCCTCCATAATATTCCTCAAATGCTGGTCCGTAATTAGGCTGGAAATGGGTGTGAACTGTGAAGACAATAATTAAAAAAACGACTGTGACTCCTAGGACTAATTCACTTAAATTTTTTTCAAAGTAAAAAAAAAACTAAAGTATATATTTGGTTATATAAGGTTTCAATTTAGTCTTTCAACTTTAAAAAGTATATTTTTAATTATTTAATTCTAAAATTATTAGTCTTAAATGATACTTCTTTTTTGTAACAATCATAGTTGTTTTGAATATTAAACTTAATGTGCTAGCATTTAGTAATGTTTTATCAGTATTCAAAAGCTCAATATCATCATTTTTTATTTATAGTTTGAGGGTTAAAAAACTAAAAATTTACTTTTTAAAGTTAAAAGACCAAAATAAAACCTTATATAAAATTAAAGGACTAAAAATATACTTTAACAAAAAAAAAAAGCCATGATCAATTGCATTTTCACAACTCAAATTCCCCTTAGCAACTCAAAACAAAGTTGTTTAAACTCTTCCTCCCACATGCGAGAGCGCCTTAGAGAGAGTGTTTGAATGAAAACTAAATCATAATTTTAAAAATAATTTTACGACATACAAAATAATTATATAAAAAAAATTATCTCGATTTATATAAAAATATTTTTAAAGAGTACTTTCAGACAAACACCCTTGAATCGAGATCCATTCGAAGGACACGTCATTTTGCAAGTGTGATCTGTCAATTATTTTCTTAAAAGCTTCACTTCTCCACCCATCACCCAATGCCAAATCATGCCAATTATATCCATACGATACTGACCCTAAACTTTCCTTCTGTAGTGTCACTATGCAATAAAGAACCATCAACGCGGTCTAAAGGCTTAACATGCCTCAAATCATATCGTGAGCTGCAGGGTTAAATTATCTCAGAACAATATTTCCTTCACCTGGCAAAGCTGAAATGGTTCATCTTATCTACAATAAACCACCTTACACTAAAATAGAAATAGAACTGACGCTGGACGGTAAGCCAGTCAGCATGTAATGCACATAAACTCCCAATAATAATAGATAATTACTCGAGGGAACATAGCAGACAAGCTAAGAAGAAGCAAGTTTGATGCTGAAATTCCAAATACATAGTTCACACACTGATAGGTTCAGTGGCCTTCTTCAGCCATTCTTTTTCAGCTTCACTCAGGTATGGCGCTAGCATGTCCCTACATTTGGAATGATAAGAGTCTAGCCAATCTATCTCAGCCGGTGCAAGAAGGCTCGGGTCAATCAACTTCTTCTGGTAAGGGGCCTGGACAGCGTAACATCAAGAATCAAGAATATGAAAAAATAACAACAGGCGTTATAATTTTTAGAATTATGCTTCTAACAGTAAACAATAGCTCTTCCCTCTTATGTGAGGTGCTCAAATACCCGTCATGAAAATTAATACAAACCTCCCTCAGAGTCAGAAAATGTTCAAAATGTCTTCAAAATAGAATTAATTTCTCTAATTAAGAACAAAAATTTGGAAAATATATTTCTTAAACTTATATCTCAAGGTCATCTCTTTCGTATTAAAAACCACAACTTTAATCTATTTCAAATTTACACAAATGCTTATTTTACATAAATCAATTCATATTCAATTCTTGTTGGCAGCAAAAAAAAATCAACTCGTTATATCATAAAAGTGAAAAGGGTATTCTGACAATAGTACATATTTTTATTTCAAGAAAGATGAATGTAATTTTCAACATCATGTAACTTTAGCATCTTTAGATAGGAAGGAGCAGTTTACTTCAGCAAAGGAAAATCTCGAAGTCTATATACCAAAGTTCAAAAGCTAAGATCGGCAAAAACTAGAGAAGAGACCAAACAAGTAACGAGTGGATAAAAGGGTGAAGGGAGCGTATATTATGGTCTGGAAAGTGTAGCTTGTAGAACCTAGAACAGAACCACGGTAACGCCCCTTATGAAATAGTTGTCATGAACCGGCAAATTAACTAGACATTAATAGGAAACTAGCAAAAGGAAATGTAAGACAATCAAATCAATGACAATTAGACCTAAAATCAGCTCCATACTGGGCCTTCAGAAAACTGAGATTTGGATAGAAGCAACCCCATCAGAACAAATACCATATCTTCATACCAAACTCAGAAATCAATCTAAAATATAAAGTAACACAGAATAGGAACTCACCCAGGTGATGTGTTCAAATGATAAATATCCTTTATCACCAAAATTGAATTTTGTATCAGCCTCTTTGACAATAAGCACATTCTCCAATCTTATCCCAAACTTCCCATCTTCATAGTAACCAGGCTCTGAAAATTCCAATTCCAAAGCATAATCCATAAGGAAAAGAGTTAAATCAAAGCATTATGTTTTTTTCTTTGACTTGACAAATAGATTGAACACTACCTAGAATTATCACAAACAGAAATAATTAACGGCAGGCTCTAAATTTGTATTATAACCATGAAATTTTTAAATAGACTAGTCTAACTTTGCGTATTTACTTTTTTGGGCACTTTCATTCTGAAACTATGAAAACCATGAAAGGGGTAAGTGTCTAAATGGGAAACATGCGTTCATGAAAAGCATGCATCTAGAAAACCACCAAATCCTCTCCTATGAATCGAAGTAAATGTAGATGCGTCACAACAATATAAAACACATTCATCTCTTCCCTAACCAGTGGCTAAGAATCGATCACGGAGAAACTTGTCCTAATAATTTCTAACGACTTGCAGTAGAAAATAATAGGAGATATGATTCAATAGAAGAATGATGAAATGATGAAAGAGAGATGATGTGGCAATTCTAATATCATGGGCTTGACAATGTTATACTAACCATCTGTCACAGTCATTGAAGCTTGCAATGGCACATTCCGGGCTTGTGGTCTAAAACTGATTAAATGTGGTCCTGCTCAATCCATATGATATTGAATTAAAACTCAATGTAATCTTATCTGCTAAAGAAAGCAAAACAAGTTCAAGCTGTAGACAATAAGGAAACAGTAACAGTCCCAACACCTTCATGAACATTCAGGTAAGACCCAATGCCATGCCCAGTACCATGTCGATAATCAAGGCCATCTTTCCACAGAGGAACTCGGGCAAGAATATCAAGCGCATGACCTAAACGTATTGACAAAAGAAAAGTAGTAATGCATGTAAATGAAAACAAGCTCAAATGCAGAATTGACATAAGGGTAAAAACGGGCATACCATTTGTCCCATTAGGAAACGTAGCATTCCCAAGAGCAATGTGACCCTTGAGGACCTGCACCAGATGCAGCAAATCAAGCGTCTGAAGCCTTTCAAACCAAAAACAAAAGGTGCAATGGTGTATCCAAAAATAACTTCATATTTCCATATATATCCAACAAAGTTAAGGAATTTGGCAATCAAATGAATTAGACTATATTTTCATGACTATTTAATTTGCAGAGGCAGCATATAAAGGCACTTACTGCTGTATAGCATGCTTTTTCATGTGTTGAAGGTTTTCCAAAATGAACTGTTCGTGTTATATCAGTTGTTCCATCTAGATACTTTAAAAGAAAAATGGAGAGTTAACAATCATAATATGCTTTCGCACCCACGAAATAAATAATTTATAAGGAATAGTAGCCAAACCTGGGCTCCAGAATCAAAAAGATAAATTTTGTCTGGATCAAGCTCAGCACATGTTTCTGCCTGTGGACAATAATGGATGATGGCTGCATTTGGTCCAACTGAAGAAATAGTTGGGAAACTCAATCCTCTGAAATTCTGGGGCCCCACAAAAAAAAAATCTTTATTGAACACAGAATGGTACACATATATTTATCAAAAACTGGAGTTTTGAGTTCACCGAAAGGGTGCATTTGTTTGCTTAATGTTAGTTTTCTTTTATTCTAACTAGAAGTATTAAGATGATACATTGCAATTTGCCCCGAAAGAAAAAAGATATATTGCAATGGACCCTACGCCTTTTCTCCCATTATTATCATTCCCTTTAATATTAATATTTTACGCTTAGACACATGCTATGAAATATGACCGAGAAATGGAGTTGCAATATGCAATTGCCCTCGGCCAAGCAGGAACTACCATAAATGTATCAATCCTCATGATCCATAACAGGAAGGGAAAATGGGCATCCATTCGTTCAATATTTCTCCAGACAAGTTGGTGAGTGCGCACAATCCATCACTATCAACTGAACTGTTTAGTAGCAAGTGCTATTAACTACTGATCAACTTCTTGTGGATATTATTGATGATGTCAAAAGATGAAAAACTTATGTATGTACCCAGGAAAACAGTTTCAGCAATTCAGCTCTACCTCATCAATAGCAATCTCCACACTTACTTCTAGTTAAATTTGAAAGAGATAGTTAACACACACACATAGACAAGGAATAACTAACTCCCAAAGGAACAGAAATTACAATAGTTACCTAACCTCTACCACACCAGAGTCCATTGCAAAAAGAAAACTGCCAGATTGAACATGTATCAAAGCCAAGATAAATGTGCTTATTTGAGTCAGAACTCCAGGAACCAGATGTCACCTTTCTGATCCATGTCATAACACGTAACCATTCTCCCCTATCTTAAGAAATTCTACTCAGAATCATATGATATAAACAAGGAATGGAAATGCATATGATCATGTTTCTGTTATTTTAGTCAATAAAATATAACCTACTCACTGTACAGGCGAACCCACCCTGCTTCAAAATGTTTAATCACGTATTATGCACTTTAAACATTACAATATAGCATTTAATTGATAAATTGAACGCACCTCTTTTGATGCCCGAAAACCCTCAAGTTTGTCGCTTGCAGTCACTTCAGTCAGCTTCAAGGACTTCCTGCACAGCATGAGATTCAAAAATTCTAATGATGTGATGCAACAGGAGCTAACCACACTGGGAAATATCCTGAAACGGTTTAAATAACCATTTAGAAATGTCACCCTCTTGACAGGTCAGGGAGATTCATTTTCTATAAGACTAAAAAGTGGGGAACTCATTTCATGACTTTCCATGTTAACTGAAAGTAAAAGTAATTGGTCAAGTTTTCCGTGATCAATACAAGGTTCCAATGTTATAGTCATAAGATCGGAAGACACTTACAGATGTTTTTCCTTGTTCACTTCATGACCCTCCACAAAGTAACCAGATGCGCCATAGTTATCCTTCATCTGCAAATTAGAACAGGCATATGTGCTGATGTTTAAATCTGGTACTTCAACCTAAGAAAAGCATACTAAAAGTAGAGAGCGAGATTAAAAAATATGGATGTCCACTTCCAAAGAATAATCCATGTTCAGAGAAATTAACCTTCTCATCCAACCAGACAAGATATTGGACAACAGCTGCACCGTCCCGAATATGTGCCTTTCTTAAACCTTCCAACTCCACTTGATTCTACAGATATTGGAGAAATATAAAATAAGAGTCACTCAACAAAATAATCAAAAGCAATTTCCAAATCAAGGTCCTTTGCAAGACTTCTAAAAGAGCTGATCAGCCCGTCAGATCAACTCAGGACTAAGAAGAATGACTCTTCGTGTATATCTGTCACAGGAGAAATAAAAAACCGGTACACTCAACATGACATTATGATAGAAGTTGCAACAGCATACTTCCCCTTAACATAAGTCTTTTAGTGACCGAAGCCAATTAAAAGTACTAACTTAAGTGGTATTATGCCGGTTAACTTAAAGGGACATCACTACCAGCTTCTTAGTTTCTCATACAAGGTTTGTTTAATAACAAACCAATAGCAATGCCTTTTGTCCTGGCCAATCACCAACAGCCGTGTTGAACCAACAATATATGACCTTTTATTAGTTGAATAAATATACACAACCTTTAAAGCTTTTGCCAAGGCCACAGGTGATTGCTGCAAGTGAACCTTATCAGAGTTCAATTTTGAATACAGTGCATAGCAACATGAACCCGGATCAGCCCATATGAGGTCATTACAACCATCTGCTTGAGAACTACCATTTACTCTTACGCCAGTCTCACTGAGGGTTTTGCTCGCTTCCTCTGTAAGTTCAGTTGAAGTTCCTCTAACAGTAGACACAGCATCAAGCTCATCTACTGCAAGCAATGCCACATCGGAACTCACTGCCGTGTAATCTCTAATTTCAATTCCATTAACTTCTAAATGAGTTTTCACCTGTACAGAAATGTTAAAAGAAACACAGAACTTATTAAGCCTTCCCACAATACGAGATATGTTGGTTCGTCTAAATAATAACATTCAGGACCTGAATTTATCTTTTAACTTGGTCATTTATCAGCAACACAGAGGAAAAGAACTCACCATTGTTAGCACATTTGGTGTTTTAAACTCCCCCCTTCCCCACACAGAAAACTTTACTTAGACAATAAACCAGGAAAAAAAACATATCATGGATAGCACCCTCACAATTCCCACAGCTAAATAATTTCTGACTAAATGTCACAGTGGCAAACTCTTCTATGGATATGCATATGGCCACAGGGCTATTTACAATGTAACAATTCTCCCAGATAATATTCTCACTCAGACAAGTAGGATTTTCTTTAGATGAAAGAAATTACTGCTACACAGAGGTACAAAAACAAAGGAAAGGAAATCCTTCTCAAAAGAAAAACAGAAACAGAAGATAACATCCTAATCTCTAACTCAACAAAGGAGACCCTCTGATTATTCTAATGTCCAATAAGGGCAAAAAAAAATACTGGCCATAGTAACTCAAAACAATAGCAACGGGATAGCATCTTTCTATACTTCCATAGTGAACACAACATTACTCACTGATTAGAAATGCATAATATGTAGATTCACATGACTCAAACCAACCTCAGCAGACACCTTTTGCTTGTCCACATAAAAGAAAGCTGAATTGGATGTCACAATAGCAAATGCATGAACTACGGGGCAGTATGCCACATCACTCCCACGAATGTTGTACAACCATGCAACCTGGATGGCAGCCAAGTTATCAAACATTTAAAAGAAAATCCCAAGATTGCAATCTTAAGGAAGCCAAGGACAGGGAAAAGGGTTGGGGGGGGGGGGGACCCTCAAGCTCAGATAACTTGAAAAAAAGAAAAGAAACAAAGCGAAAAGAGTTAATGAAAGGATATACTAACCTCATCAAGTACAGTGAAAATTATACCACGAGCTTTTTCAACCACGAGCTTTTCTCTCAAAAATTTCAACTTATCTGCAACAGAACGACCTGCAAATTCCAGTGGGTGTACCATAACAGCATTAACCTCTGCAGGTGGTCGGTTAATCCATACTTCATCTACCAAATTTTTTGTAGTTTGAACCAGCTTCTGCTGTTTTGCTGCAAAAGCTCGCTCCCATCTTTGGGCTGTATCAATTGAAATGCACCAAGGGTCAACCCCAATGGACGCATCTTTCGGCAGGTTCTAGGAATAAGATATGGAAACGACCCATTAGTATGATTATGAGACATAATAGTATACATTTACGAGCTATTTTGCAGAAAATTGTAACTAACATCAGCCATCCAGATATCTACAGCAGGATCTTCACCAATACGCATTAGCTTCCACTGATCACTAAGTTCTTGCGCTGCCTGCAGAAAATACCGTCCATCGGTCCACAGCAGTGCTTCTTTCTTTGTAACGAGTGCCAGCCCTGAATTTAAGTTTAGACGAAAATTCAAAAAACTTAGAAGCAACGGAAAAAAGCACGTAGCTGACTTTGTCAGATCCAAAATACACAACAATATTGCATGGCAAACAACCGGTTGAAGACTTCAGTCACAGTCCATCTTACATCAGGAACTGATCCTTCGCAGCCACCAGAATAAAAAAAAAAATTGTTATATAACTTTCCTCAAGGAAATGATACTCATCACTATTTACCAGGTACAAAGACTACGTTGAAACCGCGCAATGAAATCACCCAGCCCCAGAAACCAACCATATGGAGAACGATCAGCTCGCTAGGGAAGATGAGTTCTTTTGAAATATGAACCACAATAATATTAATGATAAAGAACAAGGCCAAACAAGCTAGTTTAACAACATGCCATACGTGAAAAATTCAAAAAGGAAGGACGCGACGATGGTAAGGGGGCATACATGTACAACTAAAACTAAGATGCAACAAGCAATTAATCATGTTGAAATATACCAGCACTTCCAGTAAATCCGGAGACGAATTCGCGCCTTTTGTCTCGTGCAGATACATATTCACTCTGCGATCAACGTATCGGAAAGAAAGAGATTTGAATCATATTGACCATCAATCGGGTAAGTCACGGAAGAAATAACGATTATAATATATTGATATCGCCAATTAAACAATCTGACGAAGTGCAGGCAATTTGTAAGCAGTGATGGATAGGATCGAAGAGGAACCTGGTGATAATCTTCGGAGGGTACGACCAAGGCATCAAGCGGCGGAGAGTGGGAAGCCATTAGAGACCTCAAGGCAGAGAGGGTGTCCGCCATTTCTGTAATAAGTTTTGCAATTACTCTCAGTTTGGGAGTGATAAGTGATAGAATCCTCCTTTTATATACACAGCCAAAATCGAAGGGAGGAATGCACACGCTACTGGAGGTGCTTGGAATCAACAAAAATCACTATTAAAAATGCTTTCACATCAGGCAGGATGAGATTCCTTTAAAAACCACCAGGGGTGTTTGGAATCAAAAAATACTTAGAGTACTTCGTTAAAATTATTCTAACACCCCCGAATCGATTTCCCGATCAGATTAGATTCCTTCGAAAATGTTATCCTCCTGCCTGTCCTCATCGGATTTCTTGCTCAGGATTATGTGGAATTCGATGAGTAGGAAATGCGCATCCCTAAACCCTGAAACCACTTCCGCTTTTTTTGAAAATTTTATTATTATTATTTTATTATTATTATTATTTATTTGAGTTAACTTGTATTTAACACTTTAGAATTTATTTCAATAACACTTAGTTATTAGAGTAGTTTTTTCAACTAGTGAGTGTTATTAGAAAAATGTTTTAAGGTGTTGAATAAATTAAAAATTAATTTATAATACTGGGTTCTGTAAAAAAATAATTTATGATTGTAGATAAAGTAAAAAAATAATTAATTTAAGATATCGGTTGTTACTGAAAAACACTTCAAAATGCTAGATACACTAAAAATCAATTAACTTAGAATACTGTGTCCTACTATAAAATATTTTAGGATACTAACTATACTAAAAAATAATTAATTTATAATTATAGGTGTTATTGGAAAAATAATTAATTAATTGAGATATTAGATGTTACTGAAAAATATTTCAAGAAACTAAACGTACTAAATATTAATTAATTTGAGATATTAGATTCTACTATAAAAATATTTTAAGACACTAAATATATTAAAAATTAATTAATTCAAAATATTAGGAGCCGTTTTTTAGCAGACTAAAAGGATGTTTGGGTAAAATCAAAATCATGGTTTCAAAAATACTTTTACGGTATACGAAGTAAATATGTGAAAAAAGTTATCTCGATTTGTGAAAAAGTTCTTCTAAAAAATGTTTATTAGACTCTCTAAACACCCCTTCAGCGTAGCTTAAACTAAAACAAAAATAAAAATTGTTTTAAAAAAGAGAGAAGAGGCTACATCTACCAAACGACACCATTTGGAGGATGAGAATACCCTGCGCAACGATTCGCTGAGCATGACATGAGGACGTGTCGGATCATGTGTACGAGGTGAAATCAAAATCAGATCCTCTCAGTATCATTTTTCTCAGAATCCCTCAGCGTCTTGAAATCCTGCCCATCCAAATGATCTAAAAGCTCACAGTTCACCACGTCATCAACAGGCCATCACAAAATGCAAATATTCTTTTCTTAGTACGCTTTTTTTTCTTAGCTTTTGTTTGGCAAGCTGCTGTAAGTTTTCAATAACACTTTAATTTGAAAACTGTTTTAGAAACATTCATAATTTATTCGAAAAAAAGATTCAAATTTTAATAATTTTAATTCTTAAGACAAAATAAGTTTTACAATGTGAATCCTCATGTGTAGTATAGGAGAATTTCTCTTTCTTTTTTTAATGATCTTGGACATTATGTAATGCTTACTCTAAATTCTTTGTTCACACGGTAGTGATATTCTTTGTTTCTTTTTTCATCTTTGGATTCCTATTTAATGATCTAGGATGTAATCCCGGACATAAAAAATAAGAAAATCATATTTTTTATCCTTTTATTTTCTATGTTTCCTGTGCTTGATTTTAAAATATAATTATTATCTATTTTACATCTTCGGATTCCTATCTAACGTCCCAGTACCCCAACAAGGCAGTCTTCAACCTTTCATCCTCCCTCTCATCTTCATAACAGAGTTGAATTTCACCAACTTGGGGGGGTTTGGGTGATTGCCCAAACCATGGTTTGGAAAAAAAAATACCCAAACACCCATCAATTTTTTGAAACCATGGTTTTATAATAAAACCATGGTTTGCCTGTCAAAACCGAGGTTTTGTGATAAGCAAAAAAATATTGCTTTTTGAGCGGTTCTCCCCCCACCCCCACAGTATTTTTTTTTGTTGAAAACAATTATTTATTTTTCTAAAAGCATAATCTTATATTTTATAATTACATACACACATATTAACAATTACTACATCTTGCCTTTAATATAAGACCTCATTTGATTTTTATTTGGTCCTAAATATGAAACCCCAATCTACTTTATTTCTCATATTTGTCTATTATTTTTCAAGTTATAACCAATAAACTTGATTAATAGGAATATTGTAGGAAAGGCAACACCTATTTATTACAAATAACTAACTTAACTTATTTTTGTAATCTACTTAAATTAGTTAACAAGTTCTTACATTTAGAACTAGATATAGTAATTAATATATGTTTTTATACATTGTTTATTATGTTGGCAAAAAAAATTAACAAATTTATTATTCCGATCTTTAATGTAGGATCTAATTGAAAAGTTAATATTGGTCTTAAATGTAAGATTATTATTCCGGTCATTAATGTAAAACCTAATTGAAGAGTTAATATGTAGACAAGGTCTTAAACTTTTATTAAGGAAAGCTTCGACCAAACTGGTAATATGTAGTTTTAAAAAAAAACTTATTATAAATGCTCCATATCAATGCAACATCTTAATTATTACAGCACTTTTTAATTTATTTCTCTATAAACATATTTAATCTTTTTTTATAAATATATATACACATATTAATTATTTATTAATTATATTTTCTTATATATTATTAATTATCTTGGTAAAAAAATATATTATTAACAATTTTATTCATTCAAATTAAAATATATTATAAAATATATCTTTTATATAATTATCATATTTGTATGCTTTTTTTAGTAATTTGTACATATGAAAAGTATTTCTGACAACAACTATCCAAACACTCTCATTTTATTAGAATTACTTTTTCAGAAAATCTATTTTTTTCAGAATCTATTCTCCTTATAATCTATTTTCCAGAAGCTATTTTCTAAACCATGGTTAGATTTCATCCAAACACCCCCTTATCCAACTTCTTAATCTCAAGAAATCTGAAAACATTAATCATATAACTTGAAAAGTATCTGTTCGCCGCTAACAATCAAAGAAAAACCTCCACCATTCTCATCCTTCCCCCTTCAATCTTGTCAAGAGCTTTCTCCGTATCAATTTTTCTCACAATAGCTCAGCCCAATTTTCAATAAGCTTCATCGATTTGCGCTTACTAGTTTCAATCCCTCCATTTCAACATGAAACACTTCAACTTGTACGCCTCTCTGTTGTCATTCTATTCACCCAACTCACTCTGATTTGAACTAGGGTCATGCTTTTGAGTCAAATAGTTCATAAAAAAATTTCACGTTAAGATCTCCAAAATCACGACGCTAAAGCTCCATGCCTCGGTCTTCTCCGTGATCTGGCTGCGATGTGCGTACTCCGACGACTTGTACAACATCATGATCTGCTCAGCATTATATAGATTGATGACGTGAATGAGGATATAATCTGTGAATAATAGCTCATACGATTCATCAAGAGCACAGCGCGGAAATCCATCTTCAAGAGACGTTGGTAGGGCCGGAGGAGAGTAGCGACTGAGACTTGGTTCACAGCCAAATTCATTTTTAATAACCTGATGACATGGCAAATTGTGAGCTTTTAGATTATTTGAACGGACAGATTTTAGGACGCTAAGGGATTCTAAGAAAAATGATACTGAGAGGATCTGGTTCTATTGAAATCTAAAGATTTAATTCCGAGGAATTTTAGTTTTCTTTAATTTATGCTTTCTTATAATTTCTTATATTGAAAACTTTGTATGGCAAAAAATAAAAAATAAAACTCTATTTTTTTAGCCAGCTAATTAAGATTTTATTTTCTCAGGTGCATCCAACACTTTAAAATATTTTTTTACCGTGAAGTATTTTTTGGCCCTAAAATATTTTTTTTAGGTGTGTTCAGCACCCAAAAATACTTTTTTATGCATCCAGTACTAATGTAAAAAAAAAAAAACTTCATAGTGCTAAACACACCTAAAAAATACTTTGAGGTACTAGATGTACATTCATGCATCTAAAAAAATAATTTGGAATGCCAGATACATTTTAAACTTTTTATATTCTACATATTTCAAAATGAAAATATTAAATTATCAAACATTTACTTTATTAAGTTTTGTTATGAACGATACAAATCTAAAAAGATGAATATTTGACATAAGCATGAAATTGTTTCTTCTCTTTTTATTTGGTTAAAAGTTTTCCGTTGTGATTTTTTTGTTACTAACATCGCTATTTTCATTTCCCATATGAAGTGAAGTGGCTTACAGGTAGAAGTGGGAATCAAGACCAGCCTTTCATGACTGAAATTTTAAAAATATCCCAATTTGTTAGGTCCGGCCCTTAAGCTAACGGGCAAGGGCCGGCCTGCAGGCTTTTGACTCATTTTAAAAAAAATACTATTTTTTATATTTCTCATATTTTTTAATAAAAATGAAAATAAACTAATAAAATTGTTAATAAAAGATATAAATATAAATAAAATTAAGTCTCAAATACAAAATATCATTATATATAAATATCCATCAACATCCAAGAATATCTAAAACATTCGTTAACAAAATAATAACATCCATTCCAAAGTTTTATCTATAATGCAATTATGCAATAAATAAGCATTATCATTAATCTTTTGAAACTTCATCGTTATTATAATCAATTACTCTTCTTTATAAGTATGCTTTTCTTTCGTAACAAAAATATCAAGTTTTTTTTAATAAGAATTTTACTTTTAAATTTTGCAATTTTAAAAAATATACTCCTCCGGTTCTAATTATAAGACCCAATTGACTTATTTGAGGAGATTAAGGAAGTAAGTTAAGTTGGTTATTTATAATAAATAAGTATTGTCATTCCTAAAATATCCTTGCTAATTAAGTATATTGGCTAAAACTATCACTATTAGAAGGATTATCTTGGAAAAAAAATGCATAAATATAAGAGATAAAATGGATTGGAGTCTTATAATTAGGACCAAATAAAAAGTCAAATTGGGTCTTATAATAAGGATCGGAGGAATATAAAAGAGCTTAAACGGGCCGGCCCTCGGCCCTTAAGGGCTAGTCCTTTTAAACCTTCAGCCCTCCAGAACCAGCCCTTCGGGGTCTATTTTCCATTTGAAAAGAAAAATTTTAAACCCAGTCCC